TAGCACACAAAGTACTGAAACAGGAAAAGGATGGGCCAAATGTAATAAGAATAGCTAGGCATTCACTCTCCTAACACCCCTCTTTACACCCCTCCAATGACAACCCTGGCCCACTTCAATCCTTCCGCCTCCTTATAAAAATGAAAATACCTAATCCCCCAAAATGTTCCTAGCTCCTTGAGAGCAGCAAACTGAGGCCCAGCCCTTGCTTTGCTAATCCCTCTTAAAGTCATCCAGGACACACAAAACCCTATTTAAACAGTCCTCCCCAACCTCAACCCTTGCCCCCACCTTTTCATGATGTTTCTGAAGCTCCTTGGAATAGCATCCTCCCTGGCCTGCAGTACCTGAAGCTAAATAAACCTAACCTTATGTTACATATTCTAGCCATTGATCAATGGGCTTCAACAAGACAAATCTGTACAAGTACTTCTCCATTTTATCTTTTTTTATAAGTCTCATTTGTTTCAAAGAAAAAATAAAGAAAAATTCAACTATTAACAATGAAAAAGACAAAATTCTTAGCAAAAAGTATAGCAAGAATTGAAAAGTTTATATTACCCCACACTTGGGAAGCTGAGGCAGAAAGATCACTGCAAGTTCGAGGCCAGCCTGGGCTACAAAGTGAGTTTAAGGCCAGCCTGAAACTGTACAGTGAAACCTAATCTCAAAAAGACCAACAACAAAAAAGTTTAATATTAAAGAAAAACTAAACACAAATAGCCAAGACAACTCTGAAAAGGAATAACAGGGATATACTAATACCATCAGATATGAAACTACGATGAAAACACTACAATACTTACACATTAATAGAATGACCAATGGAAAACAGAAATCCCAGAATAAACCAAAAAACTATACCTAATGAAACTCAGCAAACTATAAAAGTGGTATCTCCAACGAATAGACAAAGATAGCTGTTAAAAGTTAATTTTGTTGGGTTGTAGCTTAGTGGTAATGCCTAGCATGCGTAAGACCCTGGGTCTGACCTCTAGGACCATACAACTCCCCCTCCCTGCCCCCTACACACAGAAGTATCAACTTGACTGGGAGGGTACTTGTGCAAAATTAACAATTTAAATTGATGACTTGGCCAAGCAGATTGCCCTCCATCATGTGGGTAAGCTTCACTCAATTACTGTGAAGATCAGACTATAATAAAAAGAGGAGCCTCCCTTAGCAGGAGGGACTTCAGCAGCCTGCCTTCTGACCTCAACCACATCCGCAACCTCAGCACTCCTGGTCTCCAGCCAGCCAGCCAACAATGCAGATTCTGAATTATCTGAACTTGCCAGGCTCTGTTACTATATAATTCCTTATAATAAATTATACACATATGCACACTTCCTACCACTTGTTTCTCTACAGAACCGTAATTAATACAATAGCCTACACAAGAAAAGGTAGTTAAAAAAATCAAGCAGCTATCTGAGGAAAAGAAACATACAAACAAAAAAAACTAAGTGGGACTAAGTGCAGTCTGTACCTCTCTTTGCAGACTACAAAAGTGAAATGTAAGAATGAATAAACAAAATAATATGGAAAATTGTATGTTAGAATATGGAAGGACTTTTGAACTCCCACTAAAAATAAAATACAGAGATCATACAAAGAAGTGACTGGTAATTCTAACAACATAAAAATTTTTTTAGAAGCAGAACCGTTCTGCTCTACAAAAAACCTACCATAATTAATGTCAAAAGACAAATGACAAGATTGGGGCAGTAGTAATTCATCACATTCAACTTCCTCACACATATAAGGTTTCCATAAATCAATTTTTAAAAGACCAAACACTAAATCATAAAAACCAAGATAAAAAAAATGAGTTCATAGTTCACAAAAAATGAAAATATAAATGCTTTTAAGTGTATAAGATATTCACCACAACTAATAGGATCAATGTAACCTAAAACTGTATTATCAGACATTGACAATGTGTAGTGAACCACACTGTCACACATGGATTGGGGTGGGGGGATAAACTGGTACACCTTCTGTAGAGAGTAATTTGACAGTATCTACCAGAAACAGCAAATGCACACAACTCTGTGACCCAGCAGTGCTGCTTCTAGGCATTTAATCCTACAGATGCTACTGTATCTGTTTATGAAATGACACACACATAGTTTATCTTGGCAACACTATTTGAATTGCATATTTGTAACTATGAATAATCTAAAACCCCATCAAAGAAAACTGGTTAAGTATATTATGGTATGTCTACGAAATGAAACTGAGCTATAAAAAATGAGGGATAACTATGTTCTCCTTTGAAAAGATCTCTAGAAAGTATTTTATATTTGAGTGAAGACAAAAGATGAAAAAAAAAAAAAAACACCACAAGAGCATGCATGGTATATAATAGTACACTATCATTTGATCCAAACTATGGTAGAAATGTAAATACAGCGTTGCACAATCTCCAGAAAAACACAAACTAAAATGGTTATCCGGCAAACAGTAGGGTAGGTGGTGAAGTGAGCAGGGAGAACTAAAATGGGGAAAGAGACTTTGCTCTGTATCCTTTACTTGTGTTTTGTAATTGAAGCATGTGGATATATTGATTAGTCAAGACAGTAAGTATATTACAAAATATTAAAGACAAAAAGTGAGACCTTAATGGAACCCTAAAATTAACTTTTGTATCAACTGCACTAACAGAAAACATAATGTATTATTTGCTGACCATCTTCTACAAAATCAATAGGTTGTGCAAGCTATGTTTGGAGACAAGAGACTATGCAAGAAGGAATATTCTGATTGTTATGAAATGCTGACTGAATAATATAGGTAAGCTTCTTAGGCATTTAAACATAAACATTAATTTGGTTGTAAATTCTTATTAAAATTTGGCTTGATTTTGGTAATATTCTATTAGTAATTTTAACTTCATTTAAGAATTGACATGGGGTTTTAAAGGTGTTAACCATATCTGCAATGTTAGAGCTCATTTCTTACAGAAACTCCCCAGTTATAAACCTGGTCTTTCAACTCCCTAAACATCAAGACTGTTCCTGTTCTACCAGACCATCTGCCTAGGTCACCTAAAGGCCTCCAACTTCCACATGTTTTTATTTTATCCTACTATGAGTTTAATGAAACTTTTAAAATACTATTTATCTTTAGCTCATGAGCTTGAACACACAAAAATTTGCAATGTATTCTGAATAATGCTAGGTTGTACTCAGAATGAGCAAAATGAACCAATTTATATAAAAGAGTCATGGTTGTATATAGTATTTCATGTCATATAACTTACTGTATTCAAATCAATAAAATAATGGTAGTATCAAAGCATAAGATAGCCCTAAACTAAGCACACTAAAATAGTATTCATTTAAAAAAGATTTTATCTGTAGTGTGCTTTCCATATCTAAATGTGAAGGATATTAAATAACTAATTGCCATCTGCTGGAAGTCATCAGTGAATGTTCCATAAAGGAAACAAATTTTGAGTTTCATATTAAAGGAAATGACAGGCACTCAGAATTCTTAATCAGACTGGTTTTTACAATCAGAGTCTCATTTCAGCACACTAGAGTGAAGTGAGTAATGTAATCCCTCTATTGAGTCCTTAAATTTTGATGACATGACAAAACACTCTATGTCTACAGATAAGTTCAATAAAGTTCTGAAAGCCTCTTTAAAAAAACCTATAACTTTATCTATCAAACACTTAGATATCAGTCTGTCACTTAAAAAGAGCTGATGTTGAGGGGCTTTACAATGTTCACATACTTTAATAAAAGTGACACCAGTTAACCCTGAAATAATGTACATCACCCTACTTCTATAAGCCCTAGATATATTACCAAAATATTGAAAATATATATACAGAAAGCGAGATTGTATAGAATCTTCAAACTTTCCAGTTGTTAATATTTCTTTAAAAGCATAAACTCTAGAACTCTGAATCAAAATCATATAGGTACAGACTCCCAAAAGCTCAATAAAATACTTAAGAAATGCACTAAGTTGATTTAAATTAAACTCAATGTATTTACATAGTTGGCTTAAGGTCAACAACCTATTCAATTCATGTGAGAAGACCTATAAAGTGATAAAAGTCCATGTCACATATATTCTTCTTCTCTTTATCACCCTGACCCACAAGAGAAAAAAGATGAGAGGAAAAGACTGAAATGAAAAGTTCCACTCTGTGCTATGACTGAAAAAGCTACCAGTCCCATCTGGGTCCAGCATGACAGTCCTGCACTTACAATTCCTTCTCACTCCACTCATGAGTGACAGTCTACAAACAAAATAAAACTGAATCATTTTATCAAATATATTATGTGCTATGTACAATTTTTCTTAACATGTGAACAAAAATATATACTCTAATAACTTGAAAGAGTAAAGAGGCTAATTCAAACTAGAAATGGCTTAAAATACTTAAAGCTGACGATTCCTCTTAGTAGCTTAATATACTGTGATTTCAGTAATTATCTGTTTATAAGCTAGTTTAAAGAGAATACTATTGTCAAAAGCCAACAATATGTTCATGCAGTAACACTTATTATTAAAACAAAACCAAAACGGTCAAGATAAAAATATCATGCATGTGCTAACTAGTGGGATTAAATGATGAGCAAAACCATTTTCTTGAATAAGCCTTAACAGAGTGTCAGAGTGCTTTCTTCAAAGATTTCAAACACAAATGACAAACAATTTGCAATGAATGATACTTTCTGCTGTCACCAACCATAAAAGCAAGCATCTATTAAAGCGTTCATTTTTCCCTCACTTCAATATCAAACATGCAGAAAGGAGTGAAGAAAGGGAGAAAGGGAAAGCAGAAGGGAGGGAGAGAGAAGAAAGCAGGGAAGGAAGAAGTTAGAATAGGTTATGGGTTTGAGTTTTCTCAAAACTAACATTTTCCCCCCTAGACACACAATTATCAGATTGGAACAGGAAGAGTTTTGGAGCATCTTTGTCTGTGAACACAGAGCTGAAGGAGAAAACAAGAGCTGGGGATCGGAGGCGGTGCTCACCTGCTGTGACTGGTACCTCTGCTGGGACTGGGATGGCAGATACTGTGCCTGGGGTGGTAGATGCGGGGGCTGCGGCTGCTGGTTGTAATATGGCTGTTGGCCTTGTTGGCAGTAACCACTCACACCTTGTTGTCCATACTGAGGTGGCATCTGTCAAAAAGTCAAGCAAAGAAAACACAAGATCAAATATGCAATTAAGGGCCGGGGATATAGCTCAGTGGCACAAGCGCCTGCCTGGCAAGCTCAAAGTCCTGAGTTTGATTCCCAGTACCAAACAAAAAAAAAAAAAAAAGCAATTAAATGAAATCAAGTGTGGGTTCAATTTACTAACACGAAGTAGGACTTTTGCTAAGCAGCTAAATCCAGTATTTTTGATCCTCTCTTCATTAGATGAACTGACATACTGTACTGCTTTGTGTTCACACATTATCAATGAGGTCAAAAGATATGGTGACTTCACCTGAAACAATCATATTTTATCAGACATCAAGTATGGATGTCATAAAAATATAGTAGAGAAAGTTCCTAATGCTGACATTTAGGAATACTTTTCAGTATCAATGAGACATAATCCATTACTATACAACAGTAAAAATTCAAATGAAGTGACACTATCCAGGTTAACTCATTAATAGTTTGTAGGATGCCTGTGGTTTGGTTGCATTATATATACACGTCACATCTGTTTCTAAGTTCAGAACAACTGAAGTTAGAATGTTCCAATTATATTCTATCAGACATGGGCCAGTTACATTAGCAATTTAATTTACCATTTTTGCAAGAGGCTGGGGGTACATTCACCATCAAATAAACCCTGTGAAAGCAAAGGCCCATGTGTCAGAGGGATGTGTAAGAAGTAGGGCCTACTGAGAGGTCTTCAGGTCCAGAAGGCATCCCACTGAAGGAGACTATGGGACCCTGGCCCCCTTCCCTCTCTCTTTTTCCCTGGCCACGAGGTGGGCACTTTTTCTCTTCTATATTGTGGGTCTCACCTGAGACCCAAGATCATGAGGCTAGCAGGCAACCATGGACTGAGCATTTAAAACTGTGATCTCAAACTTATCCTTTTATAAGGTGATCATCTGTGGTATTTCTTATCATGATGGAAAGCTGACTAATACAATCACATAGAAAACAACACTATGTATATACAACCACCAACATGAGTTCTGGAAAGATATTCATAAACATAGAACAAAGAATAATATTTTCTTAGTTGATAAAACAGGCAACATTAAAAACCATAATGCACTGTAAACACCAGAGATATAGACCTAAGTAGCCTAAATCAATATTCTCTAACTTACATGAGCCTGAAAATTCTCAAAATTATTATTCACAGGAAAACCCTTTCTTGTGTAACACATTATTCATAGTATTTCCTGATTTTTAAAAAATGAGAACTCTTTAAATTATTTAAATGAGAAATACATTTTCCCCCTAACTGGGTAAAAAGGAAGAAAAACAAAAATATGAAGATAGCAAAAAACATTCCAGAGCAGAGAATAATGAAGTCACTCTGTTAATGCCACAATATGGTCCATTTGAGAACTCCAAGAACTTGATCCCCATAAGCCAACACACTTAATAAATTAAGGAGTACCAGATATACACTTAAAAGCCAAATTCACTAGAGAAATACTGAATAAATACAAAGAAACAACATTAAAAATTTAGCATATTTTCCCTCTAAGACAAAGTAATGCAATAATTTACACTATATACGATGGAATAAAAGGAAAATAATATTAAAAGCTAAAGTTCCCATTTGTTTCAACATAATTCTGATTATTTTCAAAACCTATCACTAGTGAAAACAAAAGGTATGGCTACAACAGCTTACAATACACCTCTCATCGCACAGGCTAGGCTGTTAGAACATATGACTCTGCACTGAAAACCATTACACAGAACAGCTGAATTCTTTGCTTTTATTTATCCTACAGTTTGATATTTCATAATGAATGTATGTCCCTGGCATGAGCCAAGCCAAAGAATTTCCATAAAATACAACTCCACATGCTTGAATACCATATACTGCCACAAAACACACCCTCCAGTTCAGTGCCCATATGTTTGATTTGCTATCTAATACGATATTTCACACAAGCATCTTTGCAGTTTGATTTGAAGCAGTGAGGATAACACTTCTGCCAGTGTTAAAATGACTATAAAGCTCAGTCAACACAAGCCAGCAACTTCCCTAGAAACACACTGACATAGTTTGCAGAAACCCTTATACACAGTAAGGAAGCATCATTTGAGGAGGCAGGGGGCTCTGTCTCCTAAGCACAACAGGACATATTTCAGGAACCTACTGGCACCACAGAAGCCACAAATTTACCAGACTCTTTTACTATCTGTTCCAGCTCCAGAAAATTTTGGGCAGGTTGGGGGGTCAGGAGGTTAGGTGGTAACTATATCAATAACAAGGCAAAACAAGACAAACTGTAGAAGGCACACCATCTAAAACATCTGCTAGGAGTTCTTAGTGCAGTCTTCCACAATTAAAAAAAAAAAACCTATCTGCTGTCCTCTTAGATACTTGATCTAATTCATTTCTTAGGGGCAGATTTCACTGGCACCTCAACCCTCTGTGAGCCTAAGATGAGGAAATCTAAATTATAATATAAGTGGGCTCTCCAGGAGACCAGGGCCCTAGAAGACCACAACTAGTTTGACAAATTAAACACAACCATCCTCATATCCTCATTCATTTATTTTACCACAGGGGCAATATCCAATTTATATAAGCCTATATCTGTTATTTACAGAGATTATTATAATCTCTGTTGTTAGCCTATGTCTCTGTTACTTACAGAGATTACTATAATCTCTGTTGTTAGCCTATACCTCATGTATTTACCATCCTCAACAGTAGAATATAACCTTACAGATTCAATATATACCTGCTAGAAGATGACCTAACAGTCAAGAAACACTAGTTCAAGCCTGGTGCAATGGTACATTCCTATAATTTCAGCAACCCATGAGGCTGAAACAGGAGAATTACAAGTCTGAGCCCAATGTAAAGGTCTTTACTTCCTTCATTAGACTTTTTTCTAGCACTCTGAACAAGGAGATCTAAGAAGATATCAGAAAATGGAAAGGTATCGCTTGTTCTTGGGTAGGACGAACCAATATAGTAAAAATGGCCATACTTCCATAATTGTTGCACAGATTTAATGCAATCCTGATCAAAATACCAATAGCATACCTCACAGAGGTAGAGAAAACAATCCTAAAGTTCATTTGTAACCAGAAGAGACCTAGAATAGCATAAGTAATTCTGGGCAACAAAAGCAAGGGAGGGGGCATTACAATCATTGACTTGAAATTATATTACAAAACTAGTGGGATAAAAACAGCATTGTACTGGCAAAAAACCTAACCCAAGGATCAATGGACCAGGTCAGAAGATGCAAAAACAACTCCAAACACAATCAACCACCTATTTGCTCAGTCAGTTCAACCACCCTTTGAAAAAGGGCCCAAACATCTTCACTGGAAGAAAGAGACTCTTTAATAAAAGGTGCTGGAAAAACTGGGTTTCCACAAGCCAAAGATTAAACCTAGACCCATACCTCTCACTATGCACTAAACTAAAAATGAAATGGATCAAAGATCTAAATATTAAAACAGAAACACTAAACCTACTGGGAGATAAATTAAGTAGAACTCTTCAAAACCTAGGTGTAGGTAAAGACTTTATGAGCAAAACCCTGGTAGCACAGAAAATACTACAAAGAATCAACAACTGGGATCACATTAAATTAAAAAGCTTTTGTACAGCAAAAGAAACCACCAACAGAGTAAAGAGACAATCCACAGAGTGGGAAAAAATTTTTCTCAGCTGTTCCTCAGGTGAAGGACTAATATCTAATATAAAGAACTAAAAAATAAAAAATCAACAGTACTCCCAAAGTTATAGACCCAATCCAAAAATGGGCATCTGAAATGAACAGACACTTCCCAGATGAAGAAATACAAATGGCAAATAAACATATGAAAAAATGTTCAGAAATATGGCTATTATCAAGAAATCAACCAATAACAAATGTTGCCAGGGCTGTAGGGAAAAAGGAACCTTTCTTCACTGTTGGTGGGAGTGTGGACTGCTGCAACCACTGCGGAAATCAATGTGGAGATTCCTCAAAAAACTAAAATTAAGAGTTTCCATTTGACCCAACTATTCCTCTTCTTGGTACCTCCCAAAAAGAATTAAAAGTATTATCCCACAGTGATATATTCACACCCATGACTATAGCAGCACAATGTACAAAAGCTAAATCTTGGGAAAAACCCAAATGCCCATCAACATATGAATGGATAAAGAAGATCTGGGGTTTTTTTTTTTATACAATGAAGTACTACTCTACCATAAAGGAGGATAAACTTGAGACAGTCCTTGGTAAATGGATACACCTTGAGACCATGCTTCTAAGTGAAATCAGATGTTTAAATATCACATTATTTCTCTAGTGTGAGAAACCAAAAGGGTAAATCAAAACAAAAATGTATAATAGATATTGAAAAATAGGAAGAAAATGTTCAAATGGAAGGAGAACAGGGAGGGGAAGGAGGAAATGAAAGAAGGAAAAAGGTAAAAAGAAAATATCAGGAAAAAATGGAAACAGCTTTTGTAAATAAGGAGGGAAAGGGGTTGAAGGGAGGGGAGGGGATTAGGGAAAAAAGAAGAATCAAGACACATTTTCTATAGGTACAATTTCCCTAAGATGAATGTGTTACACACACACACACACACACATCTCCAATATAATATAATATATATATATCCAATAAAATTAATTTTAAAAAAATAAAAATCAAGGAGAAAGACCCATCTTTGGGCCCAGTTCAAGCAATTTAGCAAGATCCTATTGCAAAACAAAACATAAAGCCAGGCACAATAGTGCATACCAGTAATCCCAGAACTCAGGAGGCTGAAGCAGAAGGACCATCATGAGTTTGCAGCCAGCCTGGGCTACACAGTAAGTTCAAGGTCAGCCTGAACTAAAACATGAGTTCTTGTCTCACAAGGGGGAAATGGCTGGGGATCTAGCTAAGTGCAAAGGTCCTGGGTTCAATCCCTAGGACACGAATGGAAGGAGGGGAGGAAGTAAGGAAGTAAAGTAAAAGAAAGAAAGAGG